GTGCTGGGGGATTGAACCGCGGTCCCTGATGCTTTGCCAAGCTTGTTCTAAGTAGGTGCTTTAGACCACTGAGCCATCTCTCCAGCCCCTAATTTCTTAATATTTTGACATATTTATTTCTAATGGTTTTTCTCTTTGCATGTATAGTTAGTGTAAAATTAAAATAATTCCAATGATGTTGAGTGTACTGTTTCAGCATCATTCCAAAGTGCTGTGTTGCATATCGTCAGCTAGATGCACTAAAATATTACTACCTGTTCTCTGTCGGTGGACCTCTCCAATAATCTCCAGTTTTCTGATTCAATACATCATGCACAATAAGTTTTCAATCTATATTTCTGGTTAACTCCTTAGATGAATGTGCAGAAGTGTGAATAATTACTCAAAAGCTTTCTGATGCTAGGGCCCAAGCAGTTGCCTTTATTTACTAACAGGAGAAAGCCTGACTGTGGTGGACAAAGTGAGCACTGACTCAGTACAATAATAAGGGTTCTGGGAAGAGCTTCCCACTGGAAAGTATTTTTCCTGTAGAGGCCGGAAATGGTGCCATTAACGATCCAGTCTGCAGAGGTACGCACTGCCCCCACAGCATCTCCTCTAACAGGTGAACATGCCCAGCTGGGAACACATTTTGCCTCTAATACCTCAGGACCTGCTTTCTTTCATACATTTACCTTCCCCTTGCTGTTTTATTGAAAGGGATTGGAAGGAGAATGTTTGGGTTTCTCAGAGTACAGAGAGGTGATGAAAGGCAGACAGGAGAGAAGTTGGCCAGAGGATGGGAATAATTCACAGAAGTTATACAAACAGATAATGTGCACATGAAGCAAAGCTCAACATTACTAGACTTAAGAAATGCAACAGATTTACAGATAACTACCTTGATTTACGGTACAAAAATAAAAACCTCAGACAATACCTAGTACTAGTGGGGCTAGAAGATGAATATTTTCATCTACTCTTGGTAGGAATATAAATTAATACTACCCTCTAGAAGGTAATTTCACTGCTTATCAAATTTTGCCTGTCGCCCCTCTCTAGCAAGCAATCTCATGTGTAGTATCTATCCATGTAGAAACATTAAGCAAGCATAGAAAACTCTGTGAACCGGGAAATTGATGGAAGCATTGTTATAGTGGAGGGAAAACGAAAACAACTACACCACCTATCAGTAAAGGCTGAGTAAGTGCAATGATCTTGGAGTTGAGATTCTTTTTTACTTTACAGTGGTGTGCAGTGAATAGTGGCTCAGTGGTTCAGATACCAGAGTGAACTGCAGCTCCCAGTCAGCCAGAGGAACATGAAGGCACACGACTCGACTTGACTCTGCAGCACATTGTGTCACCAGGCCATGGTGCTTTGGAGGATAGGGACACTCTATGCATTTTGGACTTGATATTTTCAATGTGCAGGGGCTGTTTACTGGGATATAGCCCCACCATAAATCAAAGAGCACCTGTAATGTCTGACATTTATACAGTGATCTAGCAAGCTGCTGTTGCAAAGAATAAAATACATTCTGACATAAGAAAAGTTGAAAGAAGATGCAGTGTTTATCCTATAAATGTTTATTTTTTTAAAGCTATTTATATATTTAAATGTCTGGACTTGTGCTGGTAATAGTGATGGGGTAGGGGAGAGCAAGGATCTCAAAGGACAAGGATATTTTCCTTTTAACTTTACATATTGTTATTAAAATTTTTATGACACTCATTTTTTAATTAAAAATTAAGTAAATGCTAGAGATACAAATAGAAAAGTAAAGGAAGTAGGACCACACAGAAGGTGAGCTTGCTCTAATTGACCATGCATGTACCTTGGCCTGGCTCCCAAGAGCGTCTAACCACAGGGAAGAGGTCAAGATGCACAGGGTTATGGCTTGTCACAGGGCTCTGCAGTCTCCAGATACTAATGAGGAGCCAGCAGCAATGACTCCTGGGTAGGCTGCTGGGAGGATTAGATGAGATAATACATTAAAGGCTGGGAAACTGGCTGGCTGCTAGTAAGCCCTCAATACTAGCAACTCTTATTCATACTATTTTTAAGGGGACCCTGAGGCCCAACCCTGCAGAGTGCACCTCTACTTCCAAATATTTCTTGCTGCCACAGATTTTAAGCATTCAGGGCAGGTGTATAAATGCTTAGTTTCATGTCAGGGCTATAACTGCACCTAATTGCCAACAAAACCACTTCAAAAGAGCTGTTCACCTGAGGGATGCTTGTGGAGTTGGAAACCATGGCTACGTGGTTCTCCTCAGCTTTAGAACTGCATTACCTCCTTGCCTGTTAATGAATATATAAATAAATAATGATCACCATGCAAATAGCATGGCTTAGCTTTCAGCAAGTTAAAACAAAAATGGTTACTGGCCAACCTTTTCATGTTTTAAAAAAAAGTTTTCAAAGCAAATGAAAATGAGGAATGGAATAGCTTGTTTTCTCCTCATCCCACCCCCAGGAGAAGTTGGTCTGTGCTGCCTCAAAATCCTTCTGCCAAAGGTCACTGAAGTACAGTTCATGGCCATGCAATCAAATAAAATCCACAAGGCAAATATGTTGGAGGAAAAAGAAGGATTGAATGAGCCTTTCTTTTATTGTAAAAGTCTTGCTTTCTCTATGAGGGACACAATAAAATAATTGCATGCTAGATTGCACGCACAGTTAAAGAAAGGGAAAAAGAAAGCAGAGAGAAGAAATAACAAAGAAAGCAGTTGCCTTGCTGGAGCCCCAGCTGCTCACAGCTGTGGGAGCTCCTGTAATAGTTTACGTTGGCCTTGTTGTTTCCTGGCTAACCTGACTGCTTTTTATCTTGATGTTTTTTTGACAACTTGAAATATCAGATTTTATTTCCTCTCTCATAAACTCTTGTAATACCATTCTTAATAAGGAAGAAAAATGTTGAACGTTTGCACTGATAAATGGAAAACCTCATTTAGGATTTGGTTAACAAATTCTAAGCGATAAAAGCCCAGGACACGAAGACCCTGTGTACTCAGGCCAAGAGGGATCATAGGATTGACAAATAACATACAGTCCTGGGCTCCCACTTAGGACTGTATAAGACTGTCTTTTCTGGTATGTAATTAACACCACCTCAGAACTGAGGAGTCACCTTGCTAACAAATGATCTCTGTCACGTCACCCACCTTCCATCTCTTGCATCGCAAACTCTCTTGATGGAATTTTAGGCACTGTGGACAAGTCTGTGGGGAGCTATTTTTGAGCAGTGATTCTCAAGTAGGTGGCTGCTGACTTATATCCCTAACCCTTCTCACATGCTAACTAGTGTGAGTTTGTGTTTAAAAACAGACACCCACAGACTCACAGATTTCTCTCATTCTCTCCTCATTTATTTCGAGCTATTCAAAACTGTATTTTATTTATCTTTGTTCACAAAGTGCCTAACCATAGAGATTCTATAAATATTTGTTGAATGAATAAAGCAGAATCTGTTCTCTTCTTCCCGGGAAAAGGAGTGACCTGTATTTATGAATAAAGTATGTGAATCAAACTTCAGAATGCCCACCTTTAATTGTCTGAGAAAGAAGAATGGAGGAAAATAGAATTTGGTGAAGCAGAACCTGTCCTTTCACTTAACAATTTATTCAACAAATATTTGCTAGGACATTTCTAGCAACAGCACACACAGTGGTAAATACAACAACATGGACTTTGCTTTTGTGAAGTTTATAGTCTACTGGGGAAGATAGAAAAGAAGTAGAAATTAACACACATGTAATGACAATTATATATGCTATAAAGAAAATAACCAGGTGTTGGAACAGATGCTAATGGGCTAGCTAGGCATGTCGTCACATGCCTGTAATCCCAGCACTCAGGAGGCTGAGGCAGGAGGATCACTGTGAGTTGTAACCAACGTGGGCCATGAGTTCAAGGCCAATCTGCATTACAAAAAAAGACCTGGTCTCAAAAAACAATACTAAAAATAGGTTGGATTTTTTTTTTTTTTTTCAGAACCTGGGGAGGTTGGATTCTTTGAAGGGAAAACTGAGCTGAACCTAAAGGAAGAGAGAGGTCAACGGAGCAAGGAGCTTGATAGGGTAAAGGCACCACGAGCCAGGCAGCAAGGCTGGAGGAGGGGAGGATCAAGAAGGTGATGTACTAGAGGACATAGGATGCAAGGGCCACACTGAGGAATCTGTTTCTATTCTGCGTTCACCTACTTACTATAGGAAAACAGAAAGGGGGTTGTAATCCTGAACAGGAAGCCAGGGCAGTATTTGGCATGTAGCAAACAATCAACAGATGTTGACAGCACTTTGTACAGTACCCAACTAGACCAGCCGGCCTTGGTCATGATAACGAAACAGAATGATTAAATAAAAAAGAGATCGTTACTTGCCTTGTAAGTGTACTTTTTACCTAGCAACTTTTGCACATAACCAGACAAATTTCCAGACAAAAACCAGTCCAGTTCCATTTACAAAAGGCAAAGCTTACTGCTGTAACGGTGCATGCCTATAATCCCAGCTACTCAATAATTAGGAGACTTAGACAGGAGGATCACAAAGTCAAGAGTAGCCTGGAAAATTTACTGAGATCCTGCCCCAAAACAAAATAAAAAGGGATGGGGAAGTGGCTCTGTCCTAGAGCACTTGCCCAGTGTGTGTGAGGCCTTGGGCTTCACCACCCGTGCAGCAAGAAAGGAGGGGTCTGATTTTGGTTGAACCTCTGATACTTAATATTTCTTTATTTTAAACATTGAAAGGACACACAGACTATATTGTAAGTACCCTCATTGCAAAACTCAGTGAGGTGCATTATTTTGATCTACGGAAACTGGTATAACTTTCTTACCACAGGTGGCCATTTCAGAAATGGAGGGTCCAGCTAATCACTAAGTCCACATGCCTTAGTGATGTTGATGATATGATTTGTTGCTATGAGACAAAAACATGCGTGTGGGAAATAGTCTGCTAGAAATCATATGACCTTGATTCAAAGGCTTTTGATTAACAGCACTAACATCCGCTTTCTGGAAAAGAAATAAACCATATGATTATTGCTTGGTTGTCCTTTTAAGCAAATAAAACATTATTAGCTCCTCATTATGGGCTGTGGGAAGCAAAAATGGCTCCACACAGTAAGAACTTCACTTGAGTTACTTTCAGCTCTTCCCTTGGAAAAGTTTTCAACGCCATGGGCAGTTGCTCCTCTTGGACCTTCTCTTTCTCTCTACTTCTGGAGGGAGACATTGACTTTAAAAAAAGACAGGAAGTAGACAGCTTAGGAGACCCAAGACCTGGTAAGCCAGCTGTGCAATCTGAAATGGCTTCTTTTCCATATGTAGGTCAGCTTGGTAACTATACCTCCAGGCTTCATTCATTTACTAGCTTTGTCTGTATGACGGTGCTGTGCTTAGTGACATAGCAAGTGCTGCTTACATAGTAAGCTAGAGATAAGAATAAGAGGAATGAGGGAAAAAAGCTGTGGTGATACACTCCTGTGATCCCAGCACCTGGGAGGCTGAGGCAGGAGAGTCATTGTGAGTTCCAGTCCAGCCTGGACTACAGAATATGTTCAAGGCCAACCTGAACTAAAAAGAAAGACGCTGTCTCAAAAAACAAAACTAAAAATCAGCCAAGTTTTCGTTCATTTATTTCTTCACGGGAGGGAGTAACTGGGAGGGGGGGAGATGCGCACATGTAGAGGTGCACGCATGCGCCCTTAGGAAGAAGAAAAGCAAAAATAGTCATTCTGTCTGTAATATAGGGAAAATTCTTCTAGCCTTGGGTTCTAGATACTTGGTAAATTATAGTAGGAATAGCCATGTGGGAGACATGCTTCATGCTTGGCTTATCCTAGATATCTTATTAAAATAGGAGTTTTTTATTTTCCCCTGTATTTAGGACAGGATCTATGGGATCTTCAGGGGCTCACTATGTAGACAGGACTCGTAGTGATCCTCCTGTTTTCAGTCTTCCAAACACTGGGATTATAGGTGCCAGCCACCACACCCAGTCTCAATTGCAGTCTCAGCGCGCCCGCCAGCATGGCATGCCAGGGATCGAACCCCAGCCGCTGTGTCTGCCTAAGCAGGCACTTTAGTCCACTGAGCTATCTTGCCGGCCCTGGGAGTCTTCATAGAGTTCTTTTAAAAGTTCTTTGTGGCTGGGGAGGTAGCTCGGGGGCATAAGCACCTGCCTGGCAAGTGGAAGCCCTGGGCTCGATCCCCAGTACTGCATGCTGTGTGGGTCCCAAAACTGTGCATGGTGGGGCACCCTTGTAATCCCAGCGCTGGGGAGGCTGAGACAGGAGAGTCACTATATGTCTGAACTTCATAGCAAGACCCTGTACCTAAAATAAATAAATAAAATAAAATCACATCTTTAAAAAAAGTTCTTTGAGCTGTCTGATTAGAATACCAAAATCAGGACTTCATAGATGTTTTTATTTAGAACAAAAGTGAATTAATTTCATTAAAACTATCAAGTAAGTAGTAGTACAGAAATATGGCAAGTATTATGGAGTTGGTCACTGATATTTGGACTTTGCTACTGGTATCAGACAAAAATTTTCCCTGAACTTACCTCTCTTTTCACACAAAGGAGCTTGTCAGTCTTCTCCGTTCTTCTGGTCTTTCCCTACAGATGGGCACAATTACCCTCAAGCAGCCTACCAGCAAGTGATCCGGCCAACTCTGCCTGGGCATCCCCTTCCTGGAGCAACTGTGAGAGGCCTGCACCCAGCACAGAAGGTCTGGCCGAATTATCCCAGCCCCCAGAACCAAGAAGACAGGCCTGTAGGGAGAGACTATTCCTTCCCAGAGCTTCCAAGGTACCAATAAGGATGCCTGGGCCAACCTTCACAGATTCTAACAGGAGGAAGAATTGTGCCAATGAAACCAAGATGTATTAAAATTCTCTGCAGGTTTGCTACCCAAGTTAAACTACCCAAGTTAGAGACAGTTACATGGTGGAACACTCTCTGGAAACTTTTCAGGTCCAAAGAAAATGGAAGCTGGTTGACAAATATCTCTTTACTGGCATTAAAGCCATTAGTGAGTAGGTAAAATTCTCTTCAAGGGAATGTTCTGAAGATGTTTTATGAGTTTCATCTCCTTTTACTTTCAGATTATCTAAATGTTTAATTCACAAAATTGATTTTAATTTTTACTATGATTAACTTCCACTTTTAGCAAGTTCTTTATATCTTTGGTTTCTTTCTGGTTAAAATGTTTTCTAAACCCTTTGTATTAGTGTTTTCTGTTGCTATAATAAAATATCTGAAGCTGGGTACTTTGTAAAGGAAAGATATTTATTTAGCTCACAGCTTTAGAGGTTAAAAGACCAAGATCCACAGCTTCCTCTATTCAGCTCCCTATAATGGCATTGTGAGGGGAGTATGAGCAAGAGGAACAGGTGAATAGCCAGTCAGAAAGCCAGCAAGGAACCAAATAGGCACCAGGTTTGTTTCTTTTTATTGTAAGATAGGGTCTCGCTAAATTGCCCAGGCTGGCCTTGTACTCACAATCCTTCTGTCTTAGCTTCCTGAGTATCTCAGATAATAGGGATTGCATCCAGCTTTTTCAGCTTACATTTTTATATAACTCTTTTTGAGAGTTACCTAGGAGACCTACACCAATTTCTTTAAAAGGCAGTACCCTCATGACCTAAGTTTTCCCTCACAGGCTGTGCAGGGCCTCCTCACACCAGCACACTGAGAACCAAGCTCCCAACACTCAGACTACAGCCAACCACAGCGTCCTCTCCTTATTGCTGTTTTGACTCTTCTTCAAGTTTTTTTCTTTTCTCTGAATTTATGGATCTAAAATAAAAGGATTTGTATAGGTGGAATTTCCTAATTTATGACATAATTAGGAAAAAAGGTATAATGTTCGTTCTTGTTCAGATATAACTTTTCCATGACACTCAAAGTAAAACTATTCTGTTTTTATAGGAAAGGATCACATGTGAAGACACTGTTAAAGTATACTTTTCAAAAATACAGAAATTAATAATTAGCTTTCTAAAAAGCATATTTTAACAGTAGTAAATAAGGTACATGCCTGTCTTCTCTTTTACTGGAAAGTCCACAAGCCTTTATATTTTCCCTCCAGACAGATCCTTTAATTTCTAAATCAAAAGTACATAAATTCTCAATAATAGAATTAAGGAAAATGTGGTTTTACAGCAGGATAATCACTTTTATAGAGGAAATATCTCAAATTCCAAGAAAACAAAGAAACAAATTTTAAGTACCCTTATAAATTATGAAATAAGCTTGGTGCTGAACAGGGGAAACAACTGTAATTTAAAAAATAAGTTTATTTTGAAGTAACTTTAGATTTACCAACAGTTTTGAAGATAGGGCTGAGAAATTGGTTTTGTAGCATCAATTTAAACCTTCAGTGGTTTCCTTGATTTATTTTATCATTTTAAGATAATGAAAAGTGAATTCAAGTAAAGAAGTCAATTCTCCTTTTACTGATAATTTGAAAGAAAATTTCAATACAAAAAGTTTACTCTATCATTAATCTCTATGATACAGTTCTTACATGGAAGGTTTTTTTTATTTAACTTA